TCACAAGAGTTTATTTCCTTTCCAAAGAAGACAGGATTAAATTTTTCAATGTAGAATTCTAGGCTTGATTATGATTTAACCTCTAATTGACCTTCCAACCTCAGCTCTCATCCCTCCCCCATATCCCAGCCACTCCCCTGTCTAGACTAAAGTTTCCACAAAGTTTTGCCCTCATTCACCCTGTGCCTTGGTATAAGCAATACCTTCTACCTGGAATACCCAACTCTACCCTTTTAGCCTTTCATGACCCCTCATCCTTTGAGCATGGATTGTTGTGCTCACTTAGCCCTGGATACTGATTGCCTATGACCACACTGGAAATAGGACTGTCAGTTCACTCAGGGCAGCAAACCCAACGGCCAAGGGACAAGGGAGAGAAAATCAAAGTTTGAAGCTAGTAAGTATAACAAACTCTGAGCCTGTTTTTCTACCCCTGAAAGGGAAATAAAGAACAATACCAGCTCTGAGAAAAACAATCTGAGAGCAATAGTAAATGCAAACCACATTCTATTTCAGAGAATCATAGGGAGTGGTGGAGATTGAGGCCAATTGGGACAGAGTATCTTGTCTAAAGGAAAAAGACAGGACTCAACTCTAGCTGATTATTGACTGGCAGGAAGGTGGGTTGGGCCAGTGTGGAGAGCTCATTCACTTTTTTAAGAAAACCTGGAAATCCAGATTGCATGTGAAATCTCCCAATTTTTACATGGCAGTAAGTAAAAAAAAAAAAAAAAAAAAATTAGCTGAAACCGGTTTGGCTCAATGGATAGAGCGTCGGCTTGGGGACTGAAGGGACCCGGGTTCGATTCCGGTCAAGGGCATGTACCTTGGTTGCGGGCATATCCCCAGTGGGGGGGGTGCAAGAGGCAGCTGATCTCATTGATGTTTCTAGCTCTCTATCTCTCTCCCTTCCTCTCTGTACAAAAACAATAAAATATATATTTTAAAAAATTAAAGGTCCATTGTTATGACCTCCACAGTTTTCAGGCTCTGGAAACTGTTCTGTGAAGATCTACTTCTACCCATCCAAGAGATGGGGGGGGGGGGGGGTTGGAACTGGTATGTTGACGGTTGTTAAACAGGCCCATTCGTTCTGCACAGAGCTCAAAGAGACTGCAAAAGTCATTCATACAAAACCTATCAGTTAGGGCCCGTCTCTCTCTGGGTTTTAAGTTCCCTATTCATTTTACTTGTTAAGTTTTTAATTACATAGATGGCTTATATTATATTTTTATTGAATAGCACTGTGTTAGGGTAGGCTGCCCTGGTGGAGTCCCCATTGCAGGGTTTATTTGCCTTGTTGAGAGGATTAAACCAGTAAAGCCCTTGGGAAGAAAGGACTTTAAAAATGTTTGCTGTTGTCTTCATTAGGTAAAATTTTTGCTATTTCTGAGCTACAGTTTTCTTATCTGTAAAATGTAGTGTAATAGAATTTACCTCATAGAAGTTATGAGAATTCAGATGATGCAGGTAAAAGCATGTAGCCGTTCAGTAAGTGATATATTCTGTTTGACAGTTGACTCACAAATATACTATTTTGTATCCCCATTTTTATTTGCATTTCTCAGATGGTTAGTGACTTTGAGCATTTTTTCATATGCCTCTTGGCCTTTTGTATGTACACTTTCAAGAATTGTCTATTTGCCCATTTTTAAATTGGATTTATCTTCCTTTTGTTAAATTGTATGAGTTACCTATAAATTTTGGAGATTAACCCCTTATTGGATGTATATTTGGCAAATATGTTCTCCCATGCATTGGGCTCTCTTGTTATTTTTTTATGGCTTCTTTTGCTTTGCAAAAGCTTTTTACTTTGCTATAGTCTCAGTTGTTTATTTTCTCCTTAGTTCCATTGTCCTAGATGTATCTGTAAAGATATTGCTACGGAGATGTCTGAAATCTTGCTTCCTATGGTTTCTTCTAAGACTTTTATGGTTTCATATCTTACATTTAAGTCTTGTGTCTATTTTAATTTTATTTTCGTGTATGATGTAAGTTGGTGGACTAGTTTCATTTTTTTAATGTATCTGTCCAATTTCCCCACCATTTATTGAAGAGACTGTCTTGATTCCATTGTATGCTCTTGCCTCCTTTATCAAATATTAATTGAACATAATGGTTTGGATTGATTTCTGGGGTCTCTATTTTGATACATTGATCTATATGCCTATTCTTGTGCTAGAATCACACTGTTTTGAGTAGTGGCTTTATAGTATAACTTGATATCTAGTATTATGATTCCTCCAACCTTGTTCTTCTTTCTCAAGATTGCTGTGGCTATTCAGGGTCCTTTTTTAAATTTTACTCCATATAAATTTTTGGATAATTTGTTCTAGGTATGTGAAATATACCATTGGTGTTTTAATAGGGATGTCACTGAATCTATAGATTGCTTTGGGTAGTATGGACATTTTAATGATGTTGATTCTATTAATCTATTAACATGGTATTTTCTTTCACTTCTTTATATCTTCCTCTATCTCTTTTTTCAATGTCCTGTAGTTTTTTGAGTACAGGTCTTTACCTCCTTGGTTAGGTTTATTCCTAAGTATCCTAATTTTTTGTTGTTGCAGTGGTAAATGGGATTTCTTTTTAGTTTCTTTTTGAGAATTCATTATTGGTATATAAAAATACATCGGCCTGGCCAACATGGCTCAGTAATTGAATACGGACCTAAGAATCAGGAGGTCACACACATACCCCAGTTGTGGGCTCGATCCCCAGTGTGGGGTGTGCAGGAAGCAGCCAATTAATTATTCTCTCTCATTATTGATGTTTCTATTTCTCCCTCTCTCTTCCTCTCTGAAATCAATAAGAATATATTTTAAAATAAATAAATTCAGGCTTTACCTTAAAAAAATTTCTGGATATTAATTTTGCATCCTACTATGTTGATGAATTCATTTAATAAATCTAGTAGTTTTTTTTATGGCGTATTTAGGGTTTTCTATATACAATATCGTGTTGTCTTCCAATAATGACTGTTTTCTTCCCCCTTTCTAATTTGGATGCCTCTTTTTTCTTTTTCTTGTCTGATAGCTATGGCTGGCACTTCCAGTACTAATTGAAAGTGGGCATCCCTGTCTTGTTACTGTTCTTAGGAGAAATGGTTTTAGTTTTCGCCCATTGAGTATGATGTTGGCTGTAGTTTTGTCATATAATGTTTTTATTATGTTGAGGTATGACCCCCTCTACTCCCAATTTGCTGAGAGTTTTTATTAAAAAGATATTGGGTTTTGTCAAATGCTTTTTCTGCATTTGACAAAACCCAATATATGATCAGTTTTTCCTGTTTGTTTGTTTGTTTGTTTTCTTCAGGTAGGCCTGTAGTTATTTGAACTTCCCTCTTAGGATTGCTTTCACTGTGTCCCATAGATTTTGGATTGTTGTGTTTTCATTGTCATTTATTTTCCAGGATGTTTTTTATTTCTTTGATCTCTTTGATAACCCATTCATTTTTTAATAGCATGCTATTTAGCCTCCATGTATTTGATTGCTTTGAGCATTTTTATTGTAGCTGATTTCTAATTTCATGCCATTGAAGTCTGAGAAGAATGCTTGATAGTTTTCATCCCTTGTGTATTTTATTTTTTTAAATATATTTTATTGATTTTTTTACAGAGAGGAAGGGAGAGAGATAGAAAGCCAGAAACGTGGATGAAAGAGAAACATCAACCAGCTGCCTCCTGCACATCCCCCACCGGGGATGTGCCCGCAGCCAACGTACATGCCCTTGACCGGAATCGAACCCAGGACCCTTCAGTCCGCAGACCGATGCTCTACCACTGAGCCAAACCGGTTTCGGCCCTTGTGTATTTTATTTATTTATTTATTTATTTATTTATTTATTTATTTATTTATTTATTTAAAGAAATTTTAATCTTTACTTTTATTGATTCCAGAGAGGAAATGAGAGGGAGAGATAGAAAGAAACATCAATGATGAGAGAGAATAATTGATTGGCTGCCTCCTACACGCCCCACACCAGGGTTGGCTGGCAATCTAGGCACGTGCTCTTGACCAGAATTGAACCTGGGACCCATCAGTCCGCTGCAGGCCAACACTCTATCCACTGAGCCAAGCCAACTAGGGTTAAATATATTTTTATTGATTTCAGAGAGGAAGGTAGGAGAGAGAGATAGAAACATCAGGGATAAGAATCATTGATCAGCTGCCTCTTGCACGCCCCCTGCTGGGGATAGAGCCTGGAACCCGAGCATGTGCCCTTGACCGGAATAGAACCGAAACCTTTCAGTCTGAAAGCCCACCCTCTATCTATCCAGTGAACCAAACCAGCAGGGACCTTATGTATTTTAGATTACAGTAGATCTCCATTCCAACTAGTCAACTTTCAGGAACTCAGTAAGCACATGTGGCTAGAGACCACCATATGGAGCAAAGCATTTAGTGTATTTACTAATCCTAAAGTTAAAAGCCCAACTCACAGAATCACCTGTCCCTTGGTTTCAGAGGACACGCAAGAAATAATAACGTCAGAGTTCTTGAATATTTACTTTGTGACATAGGAAGACAGAGATGCCCTCCTCTTTTGACAGCAAGACAACTCTCCCTCAGTTGCCCCGCCGCCCGCCCTCCCGCTGTCCAGCTGCCCCGCTGCGGCCTAATCCGGGGCTAGTGAGTAGACGCGCCTGCGCACAGGAGCTGGCGCCGGTCACCTGCGAGCTGAAGAGACCAGAGCGGAAGAGAACCCCGCTGGTCCTTCTCCTCCTTTTCCTCCTCCTCCTACAGCTCCACCTGGTCCACCGACTCCTACTCCTCGAACTGGCGCCATCATTCCAAGGAAGGGCCACCTCACGCTTAAATTGGCCCGGGACCGGTCCCCTCACACGACTAGGGAACGCGAGGGGGCGCCGCTTTCTGTAGCCGGGACTCGGCTTCCGGGCGCTCTGGCGCGGAGCTCATCATAGAGAAGCCAGCGGAGACTTCCGCTTCCGTCCGCCCGGGGACGTCGCCTGGCGCGCTCTCCTTCCTTCCGGATTCCATCTCCCTCGGGTAGCGCAGACTCTCCCTTTTACCGGAAGACGTATTCCTCTCGCCGACCAGGCGCAGACGCAGACGCAGACGCAGACGCAGCGCTGGACCCGCAGCCCTAAGACAAAGAGTGACGTCCTGAACCGGAATCATGGAGGCGACCCATCCCGACGTGGCGGCCACTGGGTGCTCCGAGCCGCCGCGGGAGAGAGAGGAAGAAGCCGGCCCGAGCTCAGGCCCGGAGCGTAACTCCGCGGGCTCCTCGTCGACTCCTGAGATCCCACCGCCTGAACCCGCCAACGCTGAACCCGAAGCGATCCCTCCGCCCGTGGCGGCCTCCGCGGGCCCCGCGCCGCTTGCTGATGCCGCTCCGCGCACCGCCCCAGGCCCTGAGGGCTCCCGGCTCGGCCCGGAGATCTTCCGCCAGCGTTTCCGACAGTTCCGCTACCGAGACGCAGCAGGCCCGCGAGAGGCGTTTCGGCAGCTGCGGGAGCTCTCTCGCCAGTGGCTGCGACCCGACATCCGCACGAAGGAGCAGATCGTGGAGATGCTGGTGCAAGAGCAGCTGCTCGCCGTTTTGCCCGAGGCGGCGCGGGCCCGGCGGCTTCACCGCCGCTCCGATGTTCGCATCACCGGCTGAGCGGCTGGCGGCCAGGTCCAGGCGCTCTCTGGACTGCAGCCGTGATCGGGTCCTGGGGCCTGAGCCTCGCTCCCTAATCCACGTTAATGAAAACGAGCTTTGGCAGCTCTTGTAGTCTGATGTAGCCCTTTCGTTCGTTCTTTACTGGGTTTATTTTCCCGAGCTCGGGAAAACAACAACCTTTGTTCTTGTTAGTGGGAGCCCATGAGAATAAAGCCTTTGTTTCCTATTCACTTGGCCTTCGTTGGCTTTTGTTGGATCATTACGTGTTGGCTAGGCCTAGGCAATCACCACATCTGGGAAATTTTTCTCTTTCACGCTTCCCACGACCCTACTGGGTGTCCTTTGTTTCGCTGGAGTCCATATTCGTCCCTACCTCTCACTAGCTAGAATCTAAGTTTGTTTTCCTACCTGAGAAAATAGTGACATATCTTGCCATGTAGGTTGGCGCTTGTGGCATCAGGCAGGCAAATAGCTGGCTCTCTTAAATGATTGCTTACCTAACTATACCAGTACTGCCACCAAATGCCATAGTATCCTGCCCTTTGGGCACGGATTCCCAAAAGGCTCAAACCATCTAGGTTTCAGAGCAGTTCCTATAGGCTAGTTCTTGCTAGCTCTGGTTTATGCCTCCAGGTTCATCTTTCTTGCCAAATTTTAGGCTTCTAGAAGGATTTAAGCATAACTAATCTGAACTAATTGATTATATTGCTAGAACTAGGCATTTGAAAGAAAAATTGATTTTGTAGTTCCACATATTTATGGATTCATTGGTTGATTCTTCTATGTGCCCTGACCAGGGAATCAAACATGCAACCTTAGCGTATCAGGCAGATGGCAAACCAACTGAGCTGCCTGATCAGGAGAGCTACACATTTAAATTTCTCTCCAACCACTTCCATTTATTTTTTTAAGCAAGCACAATTGTTTAGAAAGATAGGAAGTAGCTTGGCTGGTGTGTCTAAGTAGGTAGAGCATCTTTTTGCTTGCCGAAAGCAATGTGTCTCTCACGTTAATGTTTCCCCCTCCCCCTCCCACTCTCTGAAAAGCCATGGGGAATGTGTGGATTAAAGAAAAAAAGTGAAGAAGGAATGTGGAAATAGGTAAGCTCTTTTATGAAATCTAAAGCCTACTCTGTTCCTTGAGTCTACAGCCCAACCAGGAAGGAGCTTATTGGGGTCCACAGGCAGTTTGGATTTGTCTCAAAAGTATCCTAAAAGTGCAATCTCTTATCAGGAAGGCCAAACCTGTCTTCCCTCCACTGCTTTCAATAATCAAAATCTAATAAGCCTGCAGTTCACAACACATTAGCAAGAATGGACTAGAAGCTGGTGTATGAGATTTTACTTTTGAATATTAAATTCAAAAGTATTTTGCATACTTTATTGGGATTTAGGGTCTTGAGCTTATATCCATCTGCCTCCCTGCAGAATATAAATCTGGTTAGACTGTAAAAGCAGACTTCCTTTAAAAAATGTTTGTAGAAAGTTAAACAATGCATATTAAGAGAATTTCATAACTCAATAACATTACTAAACATAGCAACAAAAACCTGTTTTATTTTTTCCAAATACAGATACAGAAGTTTGCATGTTTTGCAAATAATTGCTTCAAAGCAACATTTCTATATACAGGGCCTTCTGTTCTAATAGCGCGTAAACATAATGTATCCACAGTGCAACGTTGGCTCATCAAGGGTCCACCTTGCATATACTCATCACTTAAAAGAAACAAAATGATTACTCAAACCAGAACTGTTTGTCAAGGCAATATTTTAAAAGGTGGATAGTTTTATTCAAAAAAAAACTTAGGTAGTGTACGTATTTCTAAATGGTAACAGTAATATTTGCAAATAACAGTTTCCAGTGCTCCAACTTGGGGTTTATTCAGATTGACCCAGGAATGAGGATGGAGCCCCTTAACATGGCTTTAAATTAGGGAAGCACACTGAGGTTACCAGAACTTGGGAGTCATCCCTGCTTCCCTACAGACAAAAGATAAAATGAGTGAAATGGGACTTTTTTTCCTTTGCAGAACTTAATAAGCCCAACTAACGGACAAAATTAGGGTAATTCAGTTAGTTTAATTCCATCTTTGAAAAAGATGAAATTATCCTAAGGTTACAGCTCCCCCAAAAGTGACACTCAAATTTATTTCGAGGGGGAAAATATCAGTAATCTAATAATAAAAGTCATCATATCTCACAGTTGTGGCTACAGAAAACCATCCTGTTTCTTCCCTTTTCAGACAAGCATCACACAGTTCTTAGAATGAGGCTGTCTGATAAATTATGCAAAACATAGATGCCATGCACACTCCTAGAGGGTTTCTTCCTATACCAGAAACGCCAACCTTAGCAACGGGAAACAGCCTCTTTGTAGAGGAACTGTGTCAGCTTTACTACAGATGTCATAGCTACATGTATTCCCTCTGATGGAAAAGCTACAGCAGGTCAACTTGTCCTAAATTCATTTTATATCACATGGTGAACAAATCGCTGGACAGCATTCCCTGGAATAGATCTCAGTTCAGAGGCCTTCATGACCACAATGACCTGTGCCTAAAGCCTAACCATTCCACAAATCGCTGGAGATACTGTCATTGCTATTGAGATATTGGCTACTTCACGTTTACATAGTAAATATTTGCAGCATATAACATTACAGATTCATAAACCCATAATTAACTTGAGTGTTAATGGACAACTGTGCTTTGCTTTTTGCTTTTAGTGATTAAGAAAACTCAACAGTGAAACAGGTCACCCCTCAAAACATGGAACATTTTCTTTAACTTTGTCTAGTAAGGAAAAAACAACAATATAGCAATTACATGTAGAACCGTAACCTGTGAGAGTAACAAATATTGTCTCAAAAGGTACAAATTGTATCTGGACATTAAGCAGCATAATCACCTTAATTTCACAAAATAATACAAACTGGAAATTTAAAGTGTTAAAGTATAATACAATAAAACAATTTTGAAAATGCCACTATTAAACATACACCCTTCAGGGAAGGAGGAAAGCGGCATATGTAGAATCTAAAGTTTGTTTACAGCAATATAAAATAAGGTAATTCCCCAAACCACATTCTTTGTAACAAATCTTTACAGTGAAAGAGTTCAAAATTTGGGGAACGCTTTTTGGACATTAAATAGAACTGGGAAGCTGTCAATATGAAGAAGTGGGTAGAAAATGCTGTCCTTTGGGTTCCAGACCCCGCCTGCTTCAGTTTGGAATTCCTCCTCGCTTCTTAGAACAGTGAGATTCTAGTTCCTCCACAGGCTGTATGGGCTCTGCCATAAAAGACACAACCCAGCCAACTCTGGGGTGACAGCTTACAAAACTTGTCCCCGGTACCATGAAGTCATGCACGAGATGTGAAGAGAAAAGTGAAGAGTCCGACAGAGAAGGCAGAGCAGCCAAGGCCTCTGCTGTTCCCAATCTCCACAGAATGGTGAAGTCACGACATTCCCATGAAGCTGGAAAAATGAAAATGATACCTGCTGCCTAAATCCATGCCAGGCAGAAACCACAGGCTTGGCATGTGCCCCAACCTGACCGAAAAGTCAATTAAATAAGCTGCAAGTTGAATCTACAACAGTTTTCGACGAAACTTTTTTGGCTCTCATTCCATTTATCATCAGTGGCACGATTTCAAGTGAAGTTTGTGCAAAAGACTCACTCTCCATCCAATGATGTGCACAGAAGAAGGGAATCCTAAGAGTCTGTTTGCTACCTTCTTGGTAAGCTCTGAGATCAGAGTGCCCTGCCCTCCAGCAGCCAAAATGGCCTCTTTGTCCAATGTCCATCACACCCCGTCTGCCCAGATCCCTGAAGTCAGTCGGTGTCACATGCATTCGGCATGCTAGGTTTATTTATTTTAAAAATGCGAAGTTCCTTCTACAGGGGCCCCTGTACTGTGCCCCCATTAGTTTTGGGTGCCCTGTTTCATGTTGAGCAGCAGAGCGAGATCTGCTGCACCTTGCCCAAGTCCGTCAGCAGCTGCTTAATGCAATGCTTGAGCTGTGGAAGCCTGGCCAGGGGCTGCGGGGGCTCCAGTTCCCCAGTACAGTCCAGCCAGCTCTCCAACACTGCGGGCAGAAGAGAAAGAAAATCCAATGAGTTCCCAACACTTGATGTGCAAGACTGTCTAGAACTTCAGCACCAATTTCAACACTATATCCCATTTGACCACTCTTGGGGGGCTGGAAGGAGAGGGCAGTTTAGGCAATATTAATTCATCAACCTTTCTACAAAGTACTATCCTAGAACAAAACTAAAATGCTTTAGAGCAGTGCAGTCCAGTAGAACTTTCTGCAACATGGAAATGGTCCGTGTTGTCTGATACAGTAGCCACCAGACATATGTATCTATTGAGCATTTAAAACATGTCTAGTGCAAGTGAGAAACTGAGTTTAAAATGTATTTCATTTTACTCTGGATGGGTAACTCAGTTATTAGAATATCATCCCGATATGTCAAGGTTGCCAATTCGATCCCAGGTCAGGCACAAACAAGAATCAAACACTAAATGCATAAATAAGTGGAATAACAAATTGATGTTTCTCTTCTTTCTCTCTCTCTCCCTCCCCTCTCTCACTTCCTCTCTTCCAAATCAATAAATAAAATTTTTTATTAAATTATTATCTGTGTACATATACCCCCCAAAATCAATAAATAAAATTTTAAAAAATATTTTTTATTGCTTTCAGAGAGGGAGGGAAAGAGAGAAAGAAACATTAATGATGAGGGAGAATCATTGATCAGCTGCCTCCTACATACCCCTTACTGGAGATCGAGCCCCCAACCCGGGCATCTGCCCTGACTGGGAACCACTGTTATGAGTGCTACGCTATCTCATGTTCTTCTCCTTTGGAGCACCAACCATAGTTTGTAATCACATAAAATGGATGGTTTAATTAATATCTGTGTCTACCACAAGATCAAGCTCCATGAAGGCAAAGGCCAAGTCTGCCTTGCTCACCATGATAATCCCTAAAACTCAATTGTGCGTGGAACATAGCAGGCACTCAACGCAGGCAGTGAAGAAATGTGGGAATGGTCTGGCAAAATGCTCCACTGACTGTGCAAGCTCTGCAGAGCTCACCATCCTCCATCAGATTTTCTTGTTGGTACCTGGAGGTTTCACAAGGAGAGGAACCTTCCCTCATCCTAATCCCAACAAGTACAAGACTTGAAAATAAAAAAATAAGACTGCCTTCTCAGAACTGAACTTGAAAACAAGAGTAAAGAATCAAAGTCACAGGAGAGTTGCTAGTGACCTGAGGAGCAAGAAAAACTCCATAGTGACCAGTTTCAATACATTGGTAAGTCTTAAAAGAGTAGGTAGGTTTGACTTATCCCCTAAGGGCAGATTCCTTTGGCAACAACAGAATGTTGTTCACCCAGTTTCCATCTGCTAAAGTATTCTCAGGGACCCAGACCCACTCCTACTGCCATTCTTTGAAAATCAACAATTTTCAGTCTTGACATCCAATCCTCTTTCAGCAATCTAATAGCATTTGCACAAATAGTAGTATCAGTTACAATTCTAAGGAGCCCAAGCAAACTTTTTAGGAGTAAAATAGACTTAAAAATTCTTCCAGAAATGCCCTCACAATGGGCCCTGGATTAGCCTCCTAAACCCAGTTCCTCCAGTTTGCCTCAGGGACAAGACATAAGCATGAGGTCATGTGGATCTCTTTTTCTCTTACGATCCTCCAATGTGGCAATCCATTTTCCAGTAGAGCCAGTCCTCTTATCATCAACTCTGAGTCACATCTCTAGCAGAAGATATTCTTCTCCTCAAGGCTCCACTTCAGTCCCAGGAGTTCCAGAAAGCCTGCCTATAATTGCTGCCCCTAAAACAGTTCTCCCCTGGCATGGCCTCAGCCATATACATGTCCTGAACACACCTTATGACCCTAGCTGTGTAGCATATGGATTTTCCTGAGTTCTTTCATACTATGTTTTATATTTCCAATTAAAGTAATAATAGCTTGACTGTACTCAGCATTCTCAAACTAACATTTATTTCTTAATCAGGCTCTATTTTAAGGATGAAAACAAATAATGAGAAAATAAAGTGAATAATCAAGAAAGAATTTTGTCTTCAAAAACCAAATTGGCAACTTCCTGGGGATCAAAAGGGAATGGACTTGATCATGTTCATCATCACAAGATATCTGTAATATCTGAGAGCAATACCCAGGGACTACACAAAGGATTCTGTCAGGTTCTATTAAATTTCTACTGATATAGAGGAAAAGGCTTCATTTCAGATTTTATCAAAGGGAGAAATAAAAGTGTTGTGTGTTTTTTATATTAATTCTCAGATATCCTAAAAATCTGATTAAGAACTCGGTCAGGCCTTAACCAGTTTGGTTCAATGGATAGTGTCGGCCTTTGGACTCAAGGGTCCCAGGTTCGATTCCAGTCAAGGGCAGGTACCTTGGAGGCAGCTGATTGATGATTCTCTCTCATCGATGTTTCTAACTCTCTATCCCTCTCCTTTCCTCTCTATAAAAAAATCAATAAGATATACTTTTTTAAAAGAACTGGGTCAGTAAAGATTTGCTCAACTTACACACAGTCTGCAGGCAGAGTGTACTTGCTCTTCCGCAGAAAAAAACTGGGCAAGTGAGGCAGAACACCTAGCATCACACAGACCTTACAAGTAACTGATAAATACTAAAAGTAAGGCTGGTCCATCTTGAGAAGAGAATGGAAGTGGGTAAAATTTAAAAGGAGGCAAGAAATACATTGTCCCGGAGAGCCATGTAGGGGAGTTCAGAAAGCAGCTCATCCTGGCAAGCTCACAGTGCCTGCCAATGGGCAGAGAGGTAGGAAGGAGACCTACCATCCAGCTCCTTCTCAATGGAATCCATCCTATGCGTGACTTCGTCTTGAAGAGATTCCACGTGGGTCAGCAGGTTAAACTGCCACTGGTGCTGGGAGTTCAGGAGCCCCTCTCCACCTCTGTCCAGCAGCTTTTGGGCAGGGGTTTCCTCTGGTAGGACCTTTTTGGAAACATATTCCCTCACCTGAGGATGCAATTGACATTTAAGTTACTGAATGAAGACAGCTCTAGCCAGCCAGTGTTTGACACCATCTGAAAAACCAATTGCAGTTTAAATATTCCAAATATCTATCTCTTTCCTCCCTCTCTTGGGGCACTGGCCAAAAACAGCCTGCTGTACCAACTGCAACCACCTCAGGGCAGCACAGACCTCTGGCTCCAAGGACCTCACGGCTGCTTCTCAGTGGCTTGTCCAATGCCCTAGGCATTACCTGTGAGCCTCACAGAATGGCTTTAGGATCCCAGAGAGCAGAGTATAGCAGGACAAGTATAAATAAGATACATGGGAATCAAACAAGAGTTTAAGTCCTAGCTGTATGTATTGCTGAATACATAAACCTGGAAAAGTTATTTCACCTCTCCAAGCTTCTGGTTCCCTTTTGGTTTTTTGTTTGTTTGTTTTTTTAATGTTCTTATTGACTTTTTTTAGAGAGGAAGGGAGAGGGAGAGAGTTAGAAATATTTTTTTTATATTTTATTGATTTTCTTACAGAGAGGAAGGGAGAGAGATAGAGAGCTAGAAACATCGATGAAAGAGAAACATCAACCAGCTGCCTCTTGCACACCCCCTACCGGGGATGTGCCCGCAACCAATGTACATGCCCTTGGCCGGAATCGAATCCGGGACCTTTCATGGTTCCCTTTTGGGAAAGATGGTAGTAGTAAAATAAAATCTACTTTAAATTTCATGAGGATGAAACAGTATAAAACACAGTGTTGAACAAATAAGATGGCGGCACAGATAAATACCTGAACTTGCTGCCATACACCACATCAAAACTACAACTAAAAGACAAAACTAATATTATCCAGAACCACAGAAGTCTGGGGAATTAGAAATTCTACAACTAGAGGGAAGTGAGGAAGTACGGAGACCTATGCAAGAGTGTACGGGTACGCTGCTGCCTTTTTTAGAAGGCAGCTTTGCTCACCACTATACACCAACGCTGCTGCTGTTGCCTTTTTTAATTGGGAGGGAGATACAAGCTCCTGGCTGCTCTGAACTCTAATTACAGAGGAGACTCTGGGGACCCAGACTCATACTGAGAAACTGGACTGTCAGGCTGGAACTCGAGGGCAGCTTTCTCTCAGAGGTGCTTGCAGTGATTACCATGGACACAGAGTCCCGGGGCCTCTTCGGGGCAGGGCTGACAGGCAACCATTGCTATTTTCTTTGCCCTGGTGATTCCCAAGACCACACCCCACCCAATTTACAACCTCATCCAAGCTGTGCGCAGAGGCTGTTGCATATGATTGGCCTAGTCTTTTGCAATCTAACACCTAACAAACTGCAGCTGGGTCAGCGAGCCCCAGAGCTTCCAAAAGAAGGCCCAAGGCTGACACCAGCTTGCATTGCTTCACAGCTGGGCCTCATCTGGGCACCTCCAAATCCCAAACAAAGAGGCAGAATCTGCAGATCTATTTGTAGCTTCTGCTGAGTGGCCTCTTGGAGATCCAAGAGCCAGTGTACCCAGTGGTCAGAGTGAGAACATCCAGATTACAACTCTTCACATCCATAAGAGACACACTCAGGGGGCAGACTCAGTGAGCACCAAAACCCCACTGAAGCAAGTCCTGCCCCATAAGGGTGTCTCTGGCCCAGGAGTTCTCCCACTGTAGACACAACTGGTCCTCACAGCCAGGTGGCCTGGAGGTCAATTCCTCCCAGTGATACCAACAAGACTGTGCACATAGCCCACAAAGGGGTGCACCAAAAGTGTCCACCTCAGGTACCTGGGGAGGCTGAGCCACTGGGCCCTATAGGACCCCTAGCACACAAAGCCACTCTATCAACACAGGGAAGCAGCCAAATGTGGATACAAAGAAACAGGTCACAAAAGACAGAAATGGAGGAAAGCAAATGACTGATATAGAATTCAAAACTACCATTATAAGGTTTTTCAAGAATTTTCTAGAAACCTCCGATAAATTTAGTGAGACCCTCGAGGATATGAAAAAGGACCAATTAGAAATTAAGCATACACTGCTGAAATAAAGAATAATATACAGAGATCCAACAGCAGACTATAAGATCCGAAGATTCAAGTCAAAGACTTGAAATACGAAGACGTGAACAACACCCAACCAGAAAAGCAAAAAGAAAAAAGAATCCAAAAAATATGAAGATAGTGTAAGGAGCCTCTGGGACAACTTCAAGCGTACCAACATCAGAATTGTGGGGGTGCTAGAAAAAGAGAGAGAGTAAGATATTGAAAACCTATTTGAAGAAATAATGACTGAAAACTTCCCCCACCTGGTGAAAGAATTAGACTTACAAGTCCAGGAAGCACACAGAACCACAAACAAGAGGAATCCAAAGAGGACCACACCAAGATACATCATAATTAAAATGCCAAGGGCAAAAGACAAAGAGAGAATCTTGAAAGCAGCAAGAGAAAAACAGTTACCTACAAGGGAGTACCCATATGATTGTCAGCTGATTTCTCAACAGAAACTATGCAGGCCAGAAGGGAGTGGCAAAAAATATTCAAAGTGATGAATAGCAAGAACTACAATCAAGATTACTCTACCCAGCAAAGCTATCATTCAGAATTGAAGGTCAGATAAAAAGCTTCACAGATAAGAAAAAGCTAAAGGAGTTCATCACTGCCAAACCAGTATTATATGAAATGCTGAAAGGTATTCTTTAAGAAGAGGAAGAAGAAAAAGGTAAATATAAAAATTATGAACAACAAATACATATCTATCAACAAATGAATCTAAAAATCAAGTGAATAAAAAATCTGCTGAACAGAATAAACTGGTAAATATAATAAAATCAGGGGCATAGAAAGGGAGTGGACTGACAATTCTCGGGAGGAAGAGAGTGGGGGGGGAGGGGAAGAAATTGGACAAAAATCATACACCCATGGATGAGGACAGTGGTGGGGGGTAAGGGCAGGGGGTGGGGTGGGAACTGGGTAGAGGGGAGCTATGGGGGGGGAGGAAAGAGAAACAACTGTAATAATATGAACAATAAAGATTTATTTTAAAAAAACAAAATAAACAGTGCTGACCTAAAGTCAGACTGCCATCAATGAAAGATTTTTAACCCTGCCTGCCCTGTTTAAACCCAGTATTTTCTGATTTTTTATTATGTGCCAGTCACCTCTATGAAATCTGCCTCATCTTCAGGAGTTTAAACCTCTTCTGGAGTTTGTGATCTCAACTTTTTATCCATTTATTTGAAATAAAATAGATATTAGCTAAGATTTATTTAGAGCTTACTATGTGCAAAGCCATGATACCAGGAGAGGTAAAGTGACCTCTTTAGAACCACAGAACAAGTGGATCCTAGTCCAGACTTGATACTGGGTCTGTCTCAAAAAACCTGTGTCGCTGAAACCGGTTTGGCTCAGTGGATAGAGCATCAGTCTGTGGACTGGAAGGTCCCAGGTTCGATTTCGGTCAAGGGAATGTACCTTGGTTGGGGGCACATCCCGGGTAGGGGGTGTGCAAGAGGCAGCTCTCTCATCGATGTTTCTAACTCTCTATCCCTCTCTCTTCTTCTCTGTAAAAAATCAATAAAACATATTAAAAATATATATATACAATATATAGTACACAAAATCTTTAAAAAAACTAAAAAAACTAAAACTGTGTCCTTACCAGCCTTGCTCAGCACTGTTTTGACACTGGCAAGGGCACAGACTGAATGATATACAATGCCCACCTTTGTTTGGTTTATAATTTAGAATGCTCAGCAATAAACAACAACGTATTTAACACTGGCGATACCAACCAGCAATTCTGTGAAAGCAAGGATGACAGGGTGTAGAAGCTCTAAAATCATACACAGCCTCGCCCAGCTGGTATGGCTCAGTGGTTGATTGTTCACCCATAAACCAAGAGATCACAGTTCACCTCAAAGTCAGGGCACATGCCCAGTTTTTAGGCTCAATCCCCAATAGAGGATGTGCAGGAAGAAGCCAATTGATGATACTCATCATTGATGTTTCTAGCTCTCTCTCTAAAGCCAATAAAAAACTTTCTTTTTTAAATCACACACACCCTCACTGACAGAACAGAACTGAGGACAGAATAGAACAAGACCAATGAACAGTTAAAGATGACAACTTTAGCAAGAAGATGACATGGGGTTTCAGAAAAGAATGATTTGAAAAACAAAAAAATAGAGTGGTTCAGAAAACTGATGAAACTTGCAAATATTTTTACAAAACAGACTGTTCTTATGTCAGGGCTATGTTCTTAAGCAAAATTAAATATTAAAGTAAATTTATCACAGAACTGTATTGGAAAAACTTATGCCTAACACAACTCTTTTTTTTTTTAATATATTTTATTGATTTTGTACAGAGAGGAAGGGACAGAGATAGAGAGCAAGAAACATCGATGAGAGAGAGTCATCAATCAGCTGCCTCTTGCACACCCCCCACTGGGGATATGCCCGCAACCAAGGTACATGCCCTTGACCGGAATCGAACCTGGGTCCCTTCAGTCCCCAAGCCGACACTCTATCCATTGAGCTAAACCGGTTTCGGCCCAAAACATATTATTGAGTAAAAAAGAAAGTTGCAAATAAGTATACAGAGGATGATGTCATACATAATAAAATATATACACACAAAACATCTTCCTGGCTCATGCCAAGATACAATTATAACATAAATAGCATTTAAAAAAACAGCAAAAACAAAACTCATTTTCCTAACTTAGTTCCATTTATCAAATCACAATCAACCCTTTTCTCTTTGCTACTTACTACCTCTCTACCCCCACTTCCACAGACTATGCCATTTTGTGGGCATTTCCCATAACCAATGATCTCTAATTTAAGTGGGCACTCCTGACTTTGCACACATTTTAAAAGGGGGGAAAAAAACCCAAAACATCTTTGTTAAGAAATTTTAAATATGATTTTATAATAAATATCTATATATCCTATATAATAAAGAAATAGTATACTAATTAGACTGGACAGTGGAACAACCTTCCTGAATGTCCTTCCAGAACAACCAGTGGGTGGGGCCATGGGATGGCGGAGCCATGAGGCAGCAGGGGCTAGCAGAGCAGAGCACCTTGCATGAATTTCATACATCAGGCCTCTAGTCTGTATATATAAAAGCCTAAGCAAGCAAATGACTGGTCATTATGACACGCACTGACCACCAGGGGGGCCCCCCGGTGGTCAGTGCACTCCCACAGTGGGAATGCCACTCAGCTGACTGACGGGCGATAGACGCAGGGCTCACAGCTGGCAAGCACCCTGATTGGGCACAAGCCTGCGACAGACACAGCAGGGCCAGGATAAACAGGAGTGGCAGGCAGCATTGGACTGCCGGTTTCAACCCAATCCCCACAGGCCATGCAAAGGGATCCCACTGGTGCAAGAATTCATGCACTGGGCCTCTGGTAATCTTATAATAAACATCTTCCCTAGAAGGAGAACTTACAAGCACTCAAACACATAAAAATATAAGCAAATCACATACCTTTGGAGAGCTGGGTTTGAGGTCACTGTCCCCCCTGCTCCTGTCTTGGTCTAGAGGCCAGCCCAGGCGTGGGGAGAGGGAATCATCACCATTCTCATGGAGGGGGTTGACTGCATCAAGGGCAGAGCCCCGCGTCTCCACCACCAGCTTCTGCTCCACAGCAGGGTAGTAGGCGCGGGGCTTCTGGTAACAGTGCTCACTGGTGATGTATGACTCCTCCACAGACCGAGGCAGGGGCAGGGGGGTCTCCACTGCCCCGTTCAAAGTTCTATAGCTTGGGGCTTCCTCCTTGCTCTTGGCTTCAGCAACTTGGATGTGTCTGGAATGAGATCTCCCATCCCCTGAGTGCTGTTTCCAAGGCTGACACCACAGCTGCAGATCAGGATGCTCCCTGCTTCTGTGGGGAGGGCAAACATGGAAAGAGGTTTAGAGTAAGTGGAACCACTGCAGGGGCTTCTCAGTTCCTAAACACTCTCCCAGCAAAGAAAAGAGCTCCCACCTGGGCTGTCTGTTCGCAGAGGGAATGGAAATCACCTCAGGCAAGCTCTGAGGAAACCATTTCAGGCAAGCTCCCTCTGTGTACACTTGCAGTGAGTGGGAGGACAGACCAGACAGATGCTACTCACATTTGGTTCACAGAGGTGTAGAAATGTGTGCAGGCCTCTGACTATCATACTGACTATCATACTGGCATTTAATTCATAGAATCCAAGGATGCTAAACATCCTGTAATGCTTGGGACAATCCCACATAAAGAATTATTCCATGGTACAATTGTCAACAGTACCTTCCCAGCCCCAGCTGAGAAACACTGATCACCTGGAAAGCACAACCCTAATACACCAGCAACTCCCACAGGTGAGTATCCCCCTCCCAATGCACACACTTTACTGAAGCCTTCCTGCAAAACTGGAATGAGTCATAAGTATGAAGGCATTGAGTGATCTTACAAAACCTAGAATTCTGTTCCCAGGGGTTTTCAACTATCTTTTCTCAGTTCTCGCACTCCAGCAATCCCCAACACCAACACCACTCTTATTCTCTGGGGAGAGGGAACAACCAGCATCAAGGCAGCATGGGTCCCTGGGCCACCTCCAGCAGGGAATCACAGCCTGTACCAGGAACCCCAGACCTGATACACCCCTAAAATTTTAATTGCATTAGGAAATGGGAGTCATTGTTAACTTTCAGGTCCACCATAGTCTGAAATATGTTAACATGGAACATAGAAGCCACAGTATTGACCTCTTATTGCATGAAAGTCTTGTTTCTTCCCTCTTATAATACTCACCTTCCCAGCTAAAATTTGAAGCCCCAATCTCTACTCCACACAAAGATTTCCTTGTAAGCCCTGACAATCATGAAGAAGGTATGTACACCATACCATGCATGCTACTTTTTAGATTACAACAGATGCTCCAAAGTTATAGGTTTAATAGTTTGCCTTTGAAAATAAATTGGCCAGACCCCTTAAGGAACAATATTTCTGAGAATGAAGATCCAGAGCTTATGTTAAGAAAGACTATCCATGTTACACAGACATACTAGGACCACTTCCCCCTCTCCCAAGATCTTTTCTCTATATACAATGACTAAAAGGTCTCCCTATCCCCTCTTCTGAATGCTAGAAGTCAGATTTAATTCCAATACAAAGCCACTGCTATAAAGATGAAAAATCTAAGTGGGATTTGGAAGGAACAAGGTTCCTGAATATGGAACAAGGACAGGAACACAGGCATCTCAGTGAGAAGAGAACACCCTCTGACTGATTCTGCAAATAAAAAGAAACATAACAAAATTCATAATTAGGAGCATCACCTGAGGATTTTTAGGCTCTCACATGGACCACTTTCCACTCATTTCAGTCAATTTCTGGTATCTCATGAAGAAGAAATTCATTTGGTTTTAAATGTGGTAAAGTTTTCCAAGCTTATAAAATGTGAAAGAATAGCAAGTCTCTGACATCCTAGTCAGGGCTGTCACTTGATTCAGCTTGCTTCAACAGATATTGTCACAATAATAGCTAATACTACCCAGCAACTATCCTCCCTTTTTTATACCCACTCCATCCTCATTCCTGAGTTTCAGCAGGGCTCTGAGCCACCTGGCTAGCTTCCCCTGCAGTTAAGTGTTATCCATGAAAATTTTTGCTCTCCCTTTTGCTACTTTTGTCCCCCTGGGTTTGTAGCAGAGGTAAGGTACAAATGAGACTACAGCAACCATACACAGATAAGACTACATAAACTATGCAGATGAGGATAATTCCAAATGGAATGCCAGAGGAATAAGACGGAAGGAACCCAAGTCCTTAAGTCCCTAGAGTCTAACACAAGGCCCTCGGGCCAAATCCGTCCTGCCAGGCCTTGCAATGTGGCCCGCACCGCGCTGTCATCACTGCACTCAGCTGCGTTTCCATCACAATGACAGTTTATGACTGTTCAGTAAACCATTCGGCCCGCGATTTAGGCTGGATTTTAGATTTTGGCCCCTTCTCTGATTGAGTTCGACACCCCTACCCTAGACAGAACCCTGGAGAAAGGACCCATACCTGGCCTGGACCTCCACCTACCTCTGACCCATATATTATGTGAAAGAGAAAATTCCATTTTGTTTTAGTCTCTATTTTGGGGGTCTTTGTTAATAACAGCTTAGCTTTCACCCATGCCATTATATATAATGTGCCCTGCTCAACCACTCCCAGGCCTCTGTGCACCAGAATGCAAGAGAAAGAAGACCCTCAGCCTGCCATCTTTGGATTCTGACACTCTATTATGCCTGGCACCAAGAGACTAGTCAGCAAAAGAAAACCTTGTCGGAGAGTGGCCTGTCATGTCTGTCTCACTCGTGGCCCTAGTTTGTCATTGTTGATAACTTAACTAAAATGGAACTCTATGGGCAGGCTCATGGGAGAACTTAAGGAGAGATTCTTACTAAAGAGAACCTGTCCCTGCCATAGATTGTGCTAATGACAAAAGAAAATTCATGGAGAGGCAGTTAAGAAGATTAGAACATGTACTTGACAGGAGCCAAGACCTGAATGCTAATAATGGCTCTACTCCCAGAAACCACAGGGAAGTGGCTGCTCCACTTAAGGCCCCGTTGCCCTATTTGGTAAAGAGGGGGTAGGTTATAAAAACCAACAGACCCAAATAAGAGACATATGTCTTTCTCAGAGTTTACATAAACTTGAGTCACCTGACATGTAGAATGCGGCCACAAAAGGGAATTCACACTCTATGAAATGCCAAACTCTGGCCATTAAAAGCCACAAGTCCAGATCCAAAAGGCCTAAAACTTTTCTGTATAAGCAAACCATCAATAGGCATATTTAATGAGCAAACTCTATGCTAGAGAACAGGCTTGCCAACAATATCTCTTCCAATAGCTTTCAATTTTACTTTTTTTACCAATCAAGGAAGCTTAGGATGAAAGGATAAACAAAATGTGGCTATTATACATAATGAAATATTATTCAGCCTTAAAAAGAAAGGATATTCAATACATGGTACAAAATAGATGAACCTTAAAGACATTATGCTAAGTGAAATTAACCAGTTATAAAAAGAAAGACAATTAATGTAGGATCTCATTTGAATGAGATACCTAGAGAAGTCAAATTCATAAAGACAGAAAGTCAAGTGGTGGCTGCCAGGGGCTGGGGAAAGGGAAAATGAAGAGGAATTATTTAATGGGTATGGAGTTTATGTTTTACAATATGAAGTGTTCTGGAGGTTGGTTACACTTATCACTGCTGAAGTATACACTAAAAAACTATTGAGATGATGCCGAAACCGGTTTGGCTCAATGGATAAAGCGTCAGCTTGCAGACTGAAGGGTCCTGGGTTCGATTCCAGTCAAGGGCATGTACCTTGGTTGCGGGCACATCCCCAGTAGGGGGTGTGCAAGAGGCAGCTGATCAATGACTCTCTCATCGATGTTTCTAGCTCTCTATTTAAAAAAAAAAAAAAACCTATTGAGATAATTTTTATATTACACATATCAAGCATGTCAAACTCAAAGGATAATGTGGGCCAAATAAACAAGGTTTAAGTTTATGTGGGCTGCAAAAAAAAAAAAAAAAAAAAAAAAGCAGCTTCAATTTTCAATTTTCATAGAAACATACGTTTATTTCAATAGACATGCTGAATACAAAAGGCTGAAATAAATGAGTAGATATTAACATAAAATAGAAAATTTTAATAAAAATTAATATTTTTTTCTTGAACATTAAATTATCAGACACTGAATAACTGCACAAATTAATAAGTGTAATGCAAATAAATCTATTTTTCTTATTCTCAGAAAGTGAAATATTTCCTGTTGCGCACACCAAACAAGTCAGTACAAGACTAATAACGTGGCAATCGGCTGCTAAAATATTCGCTGCTAGTATTAGTAGAGAGAAATGATACATGTGCACATAAAGTGCGTAAGGGAAATGAATACAACACGATTATAGTGATCAGTCATTAGCAAACGTTGTAATTCGCTATTAATAATTATGTATAATAGGATATTGTAAAAATTAAGTGATTAAGTTTTTTTAAATTATATTTTGATTTTTTTACAGAGAGGAACGGATAGAGAGTTAGAAACATCGATCAGCTGCCTCCTGCACACCTCCTACTGGGAATGTGCCCCCAACCAGAATTGAAGGTTGGACCTTTCAGTCCATAGGCCAATGCTCTATCCACTGAGTCAAACCAGTTAGGGCCAAAGTTTTTTTTTTTAAAACGTTTTTACATACTGTTATATTGGCTGGGATACAAAAATATTCCTTGTGGGCTGCATGTGGTGCATGGGCTATAAGTTTGATTTGCCAAATGTATATGTCTCCACAATTTAAAAAACAAAAAAAGCAGACTGTACACAAAAACAATCTCATCTATTAATATACACACTGTATCATCAGTATAGTGGTGGTTGCAAGAGTGCATACATTTGTCAAAACTCAATGAACACTTAAAATATGTAAATAGCCGAAACCAGTGTGGCTCAGTGCATAGAGCATCGGCCTGCAGGCTGAAAGGTCCCAGGTTCGATTCCAGTCAAGGGCATGTACTTTGGTTGAGGGTACATCCCCAGTAGGGGTGTGCAAGAGGTAGCTGATCGATGTTTCTAGCTTTCTATTCCTCTCTCTTCCTCTCTGTAAAAACTCAATAAAATATATTTTTTAAATTTTTTTATTTTTTTTAAATATATTTTATTGATTTTTTACAGAGAGAAAGGGAGAGGGATAGAAAGTCAGAAACATCGATGAGAGAGAAACATTGGTCAGCTGCCTCCTGCACACCCTACTGCTCAGTGCCCGCAACCAAGGTACATGCCCTTGACCAGAATCGAACCCGGGACCCTTCAGTCCACAGACGACGCTCTATCTACTGAGCCAAACCGGTTTCGGCTTAAATTTTTTTTAAATAAAATATGTAAATATACCTCAATAAAATTGATTTTTTAAAAATGTTTTATAACTGAGAATTTTTAGTAAGGTCATCTATCTTGATTTTGTAGCTTTTCAGTTTCTCAAATTTATCCTCCCAGACATGCCAAATAAGACATGTCCCCAAAGCTGCAGGTGCCACACTTACTGCAAGATGCTCATCTTGAGCTGCAGGCCATGCAGAACTTCGATCACTCTCTGCACATCCCCAAGAAGCTGGTGGGTGGCCACAATCTTCTTAGAATTCTGGTGAGAATAGTTATCTTCTAAAAATGCCAGGCCATGCATATGTCCCCTAGTCAACCACTCCTTGTCATACCAGTACTTTAAGCCAGGCCTCTGACCTAAAATAGTGATGATAAGAGAATTAATACTTGGCCTGAAGGAAATCCAGATTATTTCATCATTGTACAATTATTACACAAACTTTTTAAGGATAGATTGGTGTGTTTATTTTGTTCATTTATTCACCCAATATACATTTACTTGGCACCTACTAAATTCTAGGCTCCCTATTAGGTGTTGGGAATAAGGTAGTGAGTAAGAAAAGTAAGTTTCCTGATCTCCTGGAAGTGACCAGAGGTATAGCAAGAACATGGATATATCTTTAAACTTAAATCATATCATCCCCTCTTCCACTTAAATCTGCAAAGACTTCCTATTGCACACAGTAGAAACACAAAGCCCTAACTAACTGCGGCCTACTGAGACTTGCAGGACAGGCTCCTCCTGCCCTCCTGGCCCCATGTTTACAGTTTTGTCTGTGAAACTCATCAAGTTCTTTCTGGTCTCAGGGTTTCTGCTTTAGGACCCACTCTGTCCAGAGCACTATTCCCCTTTGCAGGACTGGCTCCCTATCACCTCTCCTCAGAGTAAGCTCCCTGACCTCCCCAAGTAAGGCAGACTCTTTAATGTCTCCTAGCTATTGCCTATCTGAACACTTTTGCTCCCTCACAGCATTCATCCCTATCTAACAAATGCTAGTATATCTGACTTATTTTGACATCTATTTTTGGCCCCAACTCCACTAAAAGCCAAAAAAGTAGGAACCATATTGTTCATCATTGTCTTCTCAGTGCCTGGCAAAAAGCATCTTGAGTAGATTTATCAAATGGAAAGAAGCCCTAAGTGACCCTTCAACTGTCAACTACCCATAATTAAATACTGTTCAGGCCCCCTCCCTACTCTGAATGGCTTCAGTAGTCTTGTTCATTGCAGGGACCTCTAGGAAGGATTGAAAACACAACCCATGTGACTTCACAATGTTTCCTGCTCCAAAAGCCCAGGGAACAACTTTCAGTAAGGCTGTTGTTCACCTCCCAATATATAAAAACCCTGAAATAATCTGGGTAATCCTATCAAGGTCTCTGGGCTCTTTCTGGCTTTACAAGACACATGGTAGGGATACACCTTGATTCTGTTAAAAACATTTTAAGGAACCTTTAAATCTGTTAAGTTAAACTTCTGGCCTAAGACACTGCAAAGTTCAACCTAGTCTATAAATGTGTCAGACACCGAGTGCTCAATTTAATGAGAAATCTATTCACAGTCTTGGCAATTAGAGTTATTGAAATTCAGAAAGTGTGTACTAATTGAGGAAGATGGTGTGTATGATTTCTAAAAAGAGAAAAATTGAGGAAAAAGAATAAGAACAATAAAGTAGACAAAAGAGATTTTTCAACAGAAATGTGGAGGGGGAGAATGATAGACAATGAAGTAAACAAAAAGAGATTTTTCTGTAAGGAGCCCTCGGGATTATATGTAGAATCTCAGAGGTAGCTGTTGTAGGAGCTGCCTGCACAGGATTCAGAGCAATATGACCTGTTATACAAGACAAAGGTCAGAGCCACCGGTTCTTATCTTCTGCCATGTCCTTTCTGGGTCTGTATTTGCTCACCTGTCAAATGCTGGGAGTTGACAGGTGGTCGCTGAGATCCTGCCTATCCATAATATCCTATGACTCATAGACTAATCTTCTGACCATATTTTTCCTTTGAGATAAAGGAAAAAAATAGAGGCAGATTCCTTTCTGTCCATGGCCTAATCTAGCACAAGGAGACATAGCATCACAACAGAGGTTATCAGGCCCCGAGGGGACCTACTTGCTGGAAAATGAACTATGTTGGCCAGCCCCGCACTACACAACTAGCAAAATCAAGAGATTTGGCCTTACAAGCTAATTCTAAATCTGACTTGCTTTATGAGATTAGAAAAGTCATTCATATCCTTACATCAATTTCTGTCTCATAAGCAAAAATGGGAGTAGAGTTCCTTAGGCCATTCACAGAAGCAGCGGTTCTCATGTATTGTCTAGCTGTAAGGGGATCATAGGACTGAAGCTGAAGGAGAACTTACAAGTAGTGAACAGGGAGAAGATGTCAACATCCTACTGACAGCAAGACAAGAGCAACAGATTTATAATCCACCCCTGAAACTTCTGGAAAGGGGCACCCAAGAGCCACAGGCAATCCCTGTGCCATGGAACAATGAAACTAACTGATCCTGCTAAGAAATTAATTTATTCTTTTGGGTGGCAGATAGGCTCTTCGAAAGCACACCTTTTCCCTTCCCCTTAAGGGCACATTTCCCTTCTTGGTGGCAATGAAGCAATGGAGGCCAGGTACCACTAGAGGGAGCAGAGGCAGGTTTCTAACTCACCAACAGCCCTTAAAAGAATTCTAAAACTCAAACAGAGCGGAATAGCATAGTCTTTATGCAAGGATGGCACGCAAATCTGTAGAGCATTCCATAGTTTTTATAGTTTCAGTCATGAAAGATGAATAAGTTCTAGTGCTGTAAACACTGTGCTTCGATTATAAATAATACAGTACTATAACCTTAAAATGTTATGAGGGTAGATCTCATGTTACATAACTTTTATAATAAACAATAAGGCCCTAGTAGCCAGTTTGGCTCAGTGGATACAGTGTTGGCCTGAGAAATGAAGGGTCTTGGGTTCGATTCCTCCAGTCAAAGGCATGTACCTAGGTTGTAGACTCAATCCGTGGCCCTGGTCAGGGCATGTGCGGGAGGCCACCGATCAATGTATCTTTCTCACATCAATGTTTCTCTCTGTGTGTCTCTCCCTGTCCCTTCCCTCTCTCTCTCTCTCTGAAAATCAATGGAAAAAATATCCTCAGATGAGGATTAACAAACAAATAAAAAGTAAATTCTAGCTCAAGGCCAGCTCTTCTATGTGATGAAACTCTTCACACATAGTCTCTTACTGCTAAACTCAGGAAAACTGGCCATCAGGTGAGTTAGCAAAAAAGGCAAAAGAAGTCAGAGTCTAGTGGATGCTGAAGAAATGAGTCTCAAGACCACAGACAGGATATTTCACACCCAGCTATGCCAAGGAAGACTACATACTGTTAATATCCCTGACTCCAAAAATCTCTACCTGGAGGGTCTTGGCAAACATAGCAGGTGTATTTCTCAGGCACATTTTCTTCTAGTAATCCCATGCAGACTCCATGCTGCCAGCACTGGCACTCTTCACACTGTTAGAATTAAAGAAGCAATAAAAATTAAACTCAGAGTGTATCCTCCCCATATATATATATATGCTAAGCAACCGGCATGACGGAACGACTGGAATGACTGGTAGCTATGACGTGCACTGCAGGGGCCAACTGGCCTGATTGGCCCCCTCCCACCCGCAACCACCCGCAGCCCCTCCTCCTAGGCGGCCTGGCCCCAATCACCACCCCCTGATAGTTAGCAGGGCCACAGGCGTCCCCTTCCCCCACCAGGCTGGATTACTCCGATCGGCCCCCATCAGGGCAGGCTGGCCAGACCCCACCTGTGCACGAACTCATGCACCGGACCTCTAGTTCAACAGTAAGCCCACCTGTGGGAGGAGGGGGGAGAGGAAAATTGGAGAGAACACCCACAACTGACTTACACAGGTGCTGGGCTGCAACCATTCATCAAGAATTGTGCTAGGCAATACAGCAGCCACTAGCCATCTGTGGCTCTTTACATTTACATTAACAAATTAAGTTCCCTAAGCCCTTAAAATTCTGTTCCCTAGACCCACTAACCACATTTAAGTGCTTAATAGCCATATGAGGCTAGAGGCTACTATGCTGGACAGCACATATGAAGACCATTTAGATCTAATAAACAGTGCTGGTCTCAAAAAAATGGCTTTCACTCTCATTTCTAAAGGACTGAACTCTTCTGATCTTTTGACATAGGAAAAATTGTCCACATACACAGAGGAAGGTTAACTTGTAATTAAAAAAACCTGAGTTTGATTCTGGCTCAGACATTCATTAGCTGTGTGACTTTGCAGAGGTCACTTCTCCACCCTAAGCTTCTGTTTCCCCATCTGCAAATTGGGATACTCTTCCTACCAACCATGTGGGGCTGTTTATGAGGAATCAGTGGGTCATGTGTAAAAGCTCCTATCTCACAACTTTAATGTATTAAGAGCCTATTACTACTACCAAGTGGCAATCTAACTCATTCTGATACCTCCTGGAGTAACCATGTGCTAGCATTTGCATTTATTTTCTCTAACCCTACCAAAGGTCACACAGCTGAAGAGAGCCAATGGGGGGTCAGAACACAAGCCAGGCAAATTGCAAAGCTAGTGCGTGCTTTTAACCCCTAAACCCCACTGTATTCCCTGGATTAAAGGGGAGGTGGGGAAAAGAAGGTGGAGAGGCAGGAGCAACAGAGGGGAAAAGGTATAGATAATGAGGACAGCATTACCTGGGGATAGTAAGCCTAAGGACTAAGGGCCCAAAGGAAATGGAGAGGAAAAGCAAATGTCAAAAAAGATACTAAGATACTTCAAGCAATTCCAAAGTAGGGCCCAAAACCTTGAAGTACCCAACTAAATGAATAGCTCTGGAAGGTGGACAGTGAGTTCCTGACATGGCCTTGAGGCTGGGCCACCAGCCTGGCTGGCCACAGGGACTAAAAGTCTGAAGTTCATACAGCCCTAGCCTGTTTGGCTCAGTGGATAAGAGCATCAGCCTGCAGACTGAAGGGTCCCAGATTCAATTCCTGTCAAGGGTGTATGCCGGGCTATGGGCTCGATCCCCAGTAAGCAGGAAGCAGCTGATCAATGATTCTCTTTCATCATTGATGTTTCTATCTCTCTCTCTCTCCCTATGCCTTCCTATCTGAAATCAATAAAAAGAGGGCTTTCATGGGCATATACAAACCATCTAGGAAGCTGATCACTCAGAATCAACACAGGCAGAGCTGAAAGAGCGACTTCAGATAAGATCTGATCCAAATTCTTCCATTTCCAATAAAGAAACTAAAGCTCAGAGAGAAATAAAGGCTAAATGACAGCAAAGGTAGTTAGTAGCAGAAAAGAGACTACTAATAAGAATGAAAGTCTCTCAATGAGTCTTGAGTACTAGGATTCACTACAATTGAATCAAATATAGCCAAGTTGAAAATTTCAAAATAACTTTTCTTTGTGTGAGTCTGTCTAATACATTATTCATTTTTTTTAAAGTTTAAATTTAGAAATGAACAAGAACAGAAAAGATAAAATATCTAAGAATAAATCGAAGACTGTTTAAGAATAAATATACCTAAGACTATCTAAGAATAAAACATGCAAGATCTCTATGAATCAAGATTTTTAAAAAATATATTTTATTGATTTCAGAGAGGAAGGGAGAGGAAAGGAATAGAAAGACCGATGAGAGAGAATCATTGATCAGCTGCCTCTTGCATGCCCCTACTGGAAATTGAACCTGAAACCCAGGCATGTGTCCTTGACCGGAATCGAACCTGGGACCCTTCAGTCCGCAGGCTGATGCTCTGAGCCAAACCAACCACGGCTGAAGGAAGATTTTAAATACTATTTGAGGGACACAGAAACTAAGTCAAGGGTAAGGTGCACCTTATTCCTGGATAGCAATAGTGAGGTATAGTGTTGGAACAACTGGGTAGCCATAGCCCTCACCTTACACCAGGATAAATTCCAGGCAGATCAAATTTTTAAATGGTTTTTAAAAAATAAATGAAATTTCAAAAGTACCAGAAGAAACCATGAGAATTCTTTTATCAACATTTCTATAAATTTTTATAAACTTCCAATGAGAAAGCAACTGTTATTCAAATCCCAGAAATTATTAAAGTTTAATATACCTGACCTCATAAAATCTGTAAGATAAGCCAAAAAACAGATGACAAACATTTGTAACTTTTTGGTAACAGCGATTACAAAAACATATCTACAAAAAGCCTATACACATGAATAGTAAAATGACCCACTATTTAACAGAAAAATAGATAAATAACATGAACAGACAAGTCAAAGGGAAAAAAATTATTCTTAAATAAAAAGATGTTCAAATTAACCATTAAAGAATAAAATTAATGTAAAGTAACTTGAATTAATATAAATTAATGTGAAATAAAACCAGACTAATAATATGCATACACAGTATTTCTAGGTATGGGGATTACATGTAAATATCAACCTATAATAATAAAAGCATAATATGCTAATTAGATCAGATGTCCTTCCAGACATCAATTGGACTGGGGCCAGGGATTAAATGAACTTGCAATCCAGATACATGCCCTTGACCGGGAATTGAATCCTCGACCCCTTGGTCCACAGACCCAGGTTCCAACCATTGAACCACAAGGGCCAGGGCACACATTTCTAAATTTAAAAGTAAAGATCATCCAGTTAGAACTTTCCCTAAACTGCTGCTTTTATCTTTAAACATTTTGATTTTATGTGAAAGAGTCCATTAGGAAAAAAAGTTCTGGTACTTAAAAAGTTTGAAAGCCACTAACCTAAGGCATACTTAGGTCGTAAATATCAAGCAGTAATTGAGACTATTCATGCACCCTGAATTCCCAGAGATTACCATAAAGTCTAATCAAAAGGAAGGAAACTCAAATAATATTAAACAACATAGCCATGATTTACTTAAAGAACTCAGGTACCCTGGACAGCCAGGAAGTTGCCAAGACACATAGAGTATTTATGACAGCTCTTAGAGTCAGCTAGACAGGAACCACCTCTACCAGAACTGTGATTAAGAGCAAGAGAGGGACCAGAAAAGAGAAAGAGAGAAAGAGAGAGAGAGAGAGAGAGAGAGAGAGAGAGAGAGAGAGAGAGAGATATCAAAGGAAAGCAGGTGTAGGCCAGTGATGGTCTCCCCAAGCAGGCAGGGAGTCCACAAGCACATTCCAGAGATGGAAATGACAAATACAAATATCAGGAAAATAAAGAACAGGAAACAGACAAGTAATATGCTGAGAGAGAAGTCCATTTCTTTAGGCCATAAAGAAAATTTACCTCAGACAGAAGGTACGGATCCACAGGAAGATTATTCCAGAAATTTGGAGGGCCCTGCTGTTCAAATCCTCACAATGTGACCACAGGCAAGGCCCTTCCTATTTGTGGATCCCAGATGCCCCAGGCAGAGCATGAGAGGTTTAAAGTCAATGGAATCCTCAAGTTCTCTCTTCTACTATTCATAAGCTATTTACACCAAGCCAAGATTCAGAGGAAACTAAACCAAAAAGCAAAGCTCAATCTGCTATTGATAAAACTGCCTATCTGGGGCTTCTAACGTGACTACTTTTGCTGGCCTTTAACTGTAGTCCCTCAAAATTCCCTCCAAGGACCAGCTTGTGCTTCTCTATACCTGTCTCCTGGAAGCTCTACCTACCTGAATCATAAAGTCATTTTCCTCCTGAACCTCACAGATGCAGCGGACCACTTCAAAATCATAGCGGTCATCCCCATCGAGTTCCTCATCTGGGTTGGTCGTCACATCAACGTCTTGCCCATACTCCTCATCGCTCCAAAGAAAGCTCTCAGAAGAAGACTCACTCAGATTATCCTCCTCTGAGAGGAAAGGGAAAGTAACAGGCACTATTTTAAATTATGTTACAAAAATGTTAAAACTTAGATTGTCAAGAGTAACAGTTTGCCATCTAGTAACAGCCCAAATCATGTATGCTGAGAAAGAAGCCCAACGTAAATGGCTAATCAAAATTACAGAGTTCATTGGCGAGAAACTGTAACTTCTCCATGAACCACACAGATCATCATCCTTAATGACTCACATGTGTTCCTCAACCTCACTCCATCCAGCCAGGACCCGGCTTAGTCAAGTCTGTATCCAGAGCCACCTTTAAAACTGTGGATGTACAGTGCCAGAGCAGTTGCTTGCACATAACTGGGGCCTACAGCTCTCTGCCGGCGACCCTTTTAACTCGAGCGACACGGCAGCACGCTCAGTCGGGGTCAAGTTTTCAGGGGTTTTAAAAAAAGAAAAGAAATGAACAAAACTGTGGATGGTGGTGAAAGGGGCAGATTCCAGGTATAATCAGAACTAAAATCACTAGGTCTTGGGCCCTGACTAGTTATAATTATAGGTAACCTTTACCTATTATTTATTTTGTAGACACTATTGTAAATACTTTGCACATAGTTGTCAACTCCTTTTAACACGTTAAGCAACCAGCCTGTTTTGTCTTCCAGACAGAAAGTACAATGTCAGTCACTGGTGAAGGGGAACCTTCAAGGTTGACTCAGATTTCCTTGAGCAACCAGGTTGGATGCAGAGGCCATCAAATAAGAAATGATGGATGAGAAGCAGGTGTGCAACGGGATGGGGATAATGAATTTGGTTATAGACACGCTGGCTTAGAGGTACCTGAGAGACCAAAGTTGGAAAGAATGAAACTTCAAGGAAGGCACAGCCTTTATTTAATTTGATGTTAGTTATTTTAAAAATATAAAAGATTATACTTGCAGAGGGCAGATTATACTTGAGCAGATTACAATATCAACATAATTCCAGTCTTGTCAGACTACACAAATGATCAAGCCAGCAGAGAGCCTCCTTACCAGGTACTTTCATCACTTTCCCTTTGTTGTTTCCAGATTCTGAGCCATGGAGCTGTGGGCTCATATGGACCCCAGGCTTGTGTGAGGACCCACACCTGGTGACAGCAAATGCCTTGGGTGGAGAAGGTTCCTGGCAGGTGTCACTGATCTCCTCACTGCAGGGGCATTCTGAAAAAACAAGATCAAAAGGAATAAGCACCCACACCCCAGACGTCATCAGGGCATTCTAGAATCAACCCCATCCAACCAACAGCTCTCCTACTTAAACAGCTATAAAGCTCAGGAGCAAAATGGTATGGAGGAGATATTTGGGGATTAATTCTTCTGGCCACTTCTGAGAACCTCAAAACCAAACACTTCCTCTTCATCAGCACCCTTCTTCCCTGATCTTTTCTGATAAAACTGTTTTTCTAAGCCAGAAGATTATTTTTCTAAGCCTAGCTCCCAAGGTTGGAAAACTGATTTTCTTTGAAAATAAACTTTTGGTGAGATCACACACTTTTTAAGAAGTGAATCCTGTCCAATTGGTAAGGCTCAGTGGATGAATATCAACCTATGAACCAGGAAGTCATGGTTCGATTCCAGGTCAGGGCATTTGCCCAGTTGCAGGCTCCATCTCCGGAAGGGAACATACAGGAAGCAGCCGATCAAAGATTCTGTCATCATTAATGTTTCCATCTTTCTCTCCCTCTCCCTTCCTCTCTCAAATTAAAAAAAAAAAAAAAATACATGAATCCTTTCCTGAAATATTTCAGAGATGTGTCTTCGAATCATGTGTGCAAACAAATACAGTCCTTTATCTGCATATCCTCTGTTACCAGGATGCTTTCCTATGCACTGCCCTATGGCAGAGCACACTGGCCAATGAAGTAAGAGGGAGGGTTTTCCTACATTCCAATGTGGTGTTATAACTCCCAGGGTGAGTGGGCTTCTCCCCTGCCAGGGCTGAGCCTACCAGGTCAGTAAAGGCCTGCTGACCTTCCTCTCCTCCGTGCAAGCTCAGAGGCCAGGACTGCGGAGAAAGGAACCCTCAGCCCCCACGTTAAGAAAACCCAAGTGAAACACCCTACAGGGAAAAATTACCAGGTTTGGTTTTCTTCTTCTTTTTCTTTTTCTTCTTTGGCTTCATTCTCACAAACTCTTTGAATTTCTTCTCTTTATTCTTTTCCTTGTCTTTTGCAGCTAGAATTAAATACAAGTGTAAGTATTGGCATTCTAACATTTTGTTTACAACTCTTGGAGTGTTAATGCTTAAGCATGGCCAATGTGAAGAACTAAAACAAATGGTAGAACAGAATTCTGGGTCTGGTTCTGACCTCAGGGCTCTGGAGCTCTTTCTCCATCACCTTAGCCTTTAGACCTGGGGTCAGCAAACTCTGGCCCACTGCCTGTTATTGTAAATAAGTTTTATTAAAACACACCATGCTCATTCGTTATATCCTGACTATAACTGCTTTCATATGTCAACCACATGAAGCAGCCGATCAAAGATTCTCTGTCATCATTAATGTTTCCATCTTTCTCTCCCTCTCCCTTCCTCTCTCAAATTAAAAAAAAATAATACATGAATCCTTTCCTGAAATATTTCAGAGATGTGTCTTTGAATCATATGTGCAAACAAATATAGTCCTTTATCTGCATATCCTCTGTTGGATATGCTGACAGAGACCTTGTGGCTCTCAAAGCTGAAGACATTTATTGCCACGACCCACAGGTTGAGAATTGCTAGCAGGGTCACCTAAGACCATCGGAAAACACAGATATTTACATAACGATTTATAACAGTAGCAAAATTACATTTATGAAGTAGCAATAAAAGTAATTTTATGGTTGGGGGTCACCACAACATGAGGAACTGTATTAAAGGGTCGCGGCATTAGAAAGGTTGAGAACCACTGATGTAGGACCTTATAAGGAAGTTGGCCTTTACCATGAGTGACTTAGGAGGCTACTGAAATGAAGGAGTACTAGGGCTACTATGATGTATCTTCACCTACCCACATATAGAAACTGTTGCCCAATCCAATTTTTAATTTGTAAATTCTGGTTAAATAACCTCCAAACTAAACTGTACCCATTAGTTTTATGAAATGCTAACAGCAATAACCCCAATGAGTAGCAGATCAGGCTGAAGGAGAGGTATCACCTATGACCTGGATCCTTGAGATAGAGAGATGGAGATGCAGGTTATAAATACCCAAAATCTAGGGCATCCCCAATTAAGTATGGAAGTTCCTTTGGGCTTCTTAACAACAATCTCCTTTGCATTTCCCATTTTATAAAACAGCATCAGCCCTAACTGGTTTTGCTCAGTGGATAGAGCACTGGCCTGTGGACTGAAGGGTCCCCGGTTCAATCTGGTCAAGGGCAAATGCCCGGGGTTGCAGGCCCGATCCCCAGTAGGGGGCATGCAGGAGGCAGCCGATCAATGATTTATTTGCTCTCATCACGAATGTTTCTATCTCTCCCTCTCCTTTCCTTTCTGAAATCAATAAAAATATAAAACAAAAACAAACAAAACAAAACAGCATCACATCCTTTAGGGAAACCAGCAGTAGGCAGTAAAAGAATGGGGCAACTCATTCCACACAAGGGATTCCTGGAGACCTCACATTATTCAAACTCACATAATTCCTGACTAATGTTCCCATAAAATGAAGGTATAATAAACACACTCTCATTGGCCTACCAGGTTTGAAATCATGTGGTTGATGAGTTTTCTCAATTTCTTGGGATTTGCATCAATTCAAATTTTGTACATTAAGGGAAGATTTTTTAGTATAACACACTTCAAACTTTTAAACTTCATTTTTGCATAAAATACAGCTATACCATATTACTACTTTGCAAAGGAAAAAATTAAATTCAGAAAAGCTGCAAAATCACATAAACTGATGTACAGAAAAAGATGAATTCAGACCTATTAAAAGATCTGGGAAGCCTTGAGCCCTGTAATAGGAAACGAGCACATGGCATGGAGCTGCTCTGTAGTTCAACAGCACAACCACCCCTTCCTTGGCTCTGCAGGTTTCTTTGCTCACTTTGTGCTTGCTAATGTAGCAGACATTGTGGGTATCTCCCACAACCTCCTCTACCCTTACTTCACTGTGTAGCATTTAAGGGGTTTGGACAGAAATGACTCCACACTGAGCTAAACTAATAAAAGTAATCCCCTGCCCCTTGTCACAGTGATAGCCTTAGATAATCTGAACCTGGGCCAACTGGTTCACAAGGAACAGGATTGGACTAATCTGACCCAAACATTGGCCTCTGCTCCAATACTTATTAAAAGAGTAATAAGCTCTTACCCCCTTGTTAGATTTGAATGAAGCAGCATATGTTACGGGCTACCATCCTATAACAAAGGTACTCAACCTGAAAACAGCAGTGACAGGTGAGGTAGTAAGACACTAGGTCCTCAACCAATAGTCCTGGAGCAATAGCTCCCCTGGACTTCTCTAGTGCGTGAGCTAACACAGCTCCTTAATTATAGAGTTGATTCAACCTGGGTTTCCTGTTACTCATAATTAAAAGTATTCCAAGTGTCGCAGCTGGTCAGAAATATGGTCACATTAAGCTTCAGAGAATCCTCCCTGAGGTTTTAGAGGAGCAAACAATGAGGATAAAAAGAAAAGATTCTTGGAACTATTCTAGAGAAGCCCATGTTCTCTGAACACAAAGGGAAGAGAGAAGCCTTCAGAGGCGCACCTTGGCTTCTAGCTAAAGCTTTTGAAGTCTTATGTGGCCTTAGGTGGCAGAGTTCACAGGGAGAGCTGCCCAGCTGAGACTAAACCAACCCAGGTGAGTCCTTGAGGAACAGGGAAGAGAAGGTGACGACAGGCAGAGCTTCCTTCCCTTGAGTCCTATAGACAGCAGAACATAGAGAGTATGGGCTCTGCACTAGATTCAAATCATAGCTCCACCACCTGATAGATATATAGATAGTGGTTCAAGTTAATCCATCTCATCTGCACCTCAATTTCTAATCTATAAAGTGGAAACAATAGTACCTGCCTCATAGACTTTGTTTTGAGGATTAAATAGGACAATACAAGTGAAGAATTTGAAACAGTGCCCAGCACATGGCAAGTACTCAAATGTTAGCTGTGATTATCTTGCTTGCGATACTGTCTGCCCAGAAAGTGGTGCCATCTGCTATCAGTTCTCTCTTCAGTCAGCTTGACCAATTGTTCCGGGATCCACAAAACCTGTAACCATGCTATAGAGCTTCTTCCCAAATGCCCAGACTCAGCTGGACAGAACAACTTCCTGCCAGGATTCTGTATGAGAGAAAAGACTGCCCCCCGAGTAGGGCACAGCTTTTCCAAGATAGCCATTGTCCTTTCCTCAGGCTGCAGGCACCCATCAGGAGAAATACCATGGCCCTTCTTGCTCCCTGTGTACACACACCCAGGATATGTTTTTATAGATTTTAGAGACAGAAAAACATGAATGTGAGAGAAACATCCATCGGTTGCCTCCCACATACCCTGTCTGGGGATCAAACCGGCAACCTAAGTATGTGCCCTGCCTGGGAATCATCCCTGCAACCTTTTGGTGTAAGGATGATGCTCCCACCAACTGAGCCACCCAGACAGGGCTGCTCTCTATTTCTCCATCAAATCATCACTAACTTATGACAGAAGGGCAGCAAACTGCTGCTTCCAGAGGGAAGAGGAAAGAATATCACCCTCACCAATGAGAGAACTGCTTGTATACCACAGAGCATGGCCACGCAGCTGACTCAAGCAGTGACGAGAGCATGTTCTGATGTGCACCAGGGGATGGCAACTCAAGGACATAGAAGTGTGTATGCTCTTGGAGAGATTCTCATTGCCTATCAGAGGAAGTGATGCTCACGACCTAACACCATCATTTCACCACGTCTACTCTCCCAGCTTCATCTCCCATTACCCCCCACCAGGCATCCCACCCAGACATCAGCCCCAAATGGCCCTCCAACAAATCTCTCCCTCAAGCCCTATATTCTTCTACTGTAGCTCATATGACATAGACTGCTATGCAAAAACTCTTTTCGCCACTTCTTCTACAAGAAAAGAGTACATTTTCCAGCTTCCCCTGACAGAGTTACAGCCAGGTACACATATTTAGGATATGAACAGAAGTGGCTGTGGTACTTTTGGGTTGTGCCCTTAAAAGAAAGAAGCATGCCTTCCCTTTCCCTTCCCAGCAGCTAAAAGACAGGCAAGATGATAAGCAACTCTGGATCATGCAGAGGAGAGCAACACCTTAACCTTAGGCCTGAAGGAACGAGGAGGAAAAGGCTAGTCCTGAACAATTTCATAGAGCCACAGTGGGAGCTTGCAGTCTGACCAGAAAAGGAAATAAACCTGTCTTGTTAAAGCCAACTACTTTGACATAGGTCATCTATACCCTAATTAAGCTCATAGTACTCTCTTCCATTAAAGGAGAAAGCACAAATCCCTATGAGAAGGCAGTCTAACACCACAAGAAAAAATGTGCAGATGGTGACAAAGTAGCACCCACTGCCCAAAGGCTCATTCTAGCCTAAAGGTAAGATTTATCCAAAGTGAGAACATGAACCAAACGTTCCCTTTTGTCCTAGAATATTCTATATGAGCCAAACCTCTACTCTGGACTGAACTCACATATGCAGAAACAAACCCAATACAGTACCAAGGAAGCCTAAACTTGCCTCTGAAGAGAATTTATTAATTGTATTCTAGTACTGTAAGAAAGCTCATTTGGAAAAGTAAATCTACACGGACCTCCCAAATTCACTTATGAGACTAAAGGCTTAACTCAGGGAAGAGGAAACATCAGAAAGTCACTTTAGGGACAGACTATCATGACAGTTTGTTGTCCTCAATGACTCTAAACCTTTGCTCTGCTTGTTTCCAGCACAGGGATGCCTGTCCTATTCCTCTGACTTCTGGTCCAACCCTTACCTACCCATACCCTTCAAAGCTAACTGAAATGTCACCTTCTCCTCTCAACATCTCACCCTGCTCTATAGGCAAAATCTGAATCTGTGTTCCCACAGTAGTACTTTATATGTCCCTGACACTGGACTTAGCCATTTTCACTGTATCTGTACATGTGCTTTTGTAATCTGTACATGTGCTTTTGTACCCATATGAAAAGTCCTTGACTTATTTATACTTAGTTCTACCTCATCACTTCAGAAAGAAAGAAGTCAGATCTGTGATGAGCTGAGAGCACAAGTAGATAATAGCAGGAGTGCTACTAAGATTTGGTCTTTGGCCAGACAATGTGGTTAAGTAGTTGGCATTAATCTATGAACCAGCAGGCCTAGGTTCGACTCCGGTGATCAGGGCACATGCCCAGGTTTCAGGCTCCATCCCCAGTAGCAGGTGTGCAGGAGGCAACCAATCAATGATTCTCTTTCATCACTGATGTTTCTCTCTCCCTCTCCCTTCCTCTCTGAAAACAATAAAAATATATATTAAAAAAATAAAATAAAAAAGACTCAGTCTCTGGACTCTCAGACCAGAATTGCTTCCCCACTCAATAGAACAGCTTCTTCCACTCAACATTACTGGCAGGAAAATTGAGGGGTTACACCATAAATCATCTTTGCAGAGTTTTCTGGCCAGGAATCGCTATCTAAGAAAACTATTAGAACACAAATTTTCATTGGTCATAATCTGAGCACTCAGCATAAGGAGGGTACTTTTTTTTTTTTTACAGTAATTATACCCAAGCAACACAAATTCTTTAATATTCTGTTTTCCACTTAAGCATAAGGTCAAGTTCACAATGCCTGTAACCAAGACACAGGCTGCATGGTATCAGAGGCTCACCCAGAAACATCTCCCCAGCTGAACTCCCCTCAAATGTCTGAAATTCTACTCCTAAAGATAAGGGTTTTCTTAGAAGTCTGAGGTGAAACCTAGATATGCCAAAAAGACAAGTGAGCCATTAAGCTGGTTTTATTCTTTCAAAATTTAAGAAATTTAGTTATCAGATTAGTCAAGTAGCAGCAAAACAGTGAGGAAATGGTCAGAGGCCTTGATGGGAGAAAAGTAGGAGGAGGTGCCTGGAACAGAGGATGTCTTCTGGGGAGTTGAGGCCTATGGAATCTCCTGAATACCCTGCTAGGTTTGCTCTCATTGATAGCCATGAACATGTCTACTGACCTGGGTTCAGAGATTATAATAACAGAAGTTCCTGCTGATTAGTGGCAGAGGCAGGACTTAATTATTTATATCTATTAGCTTATGGTAAACAATTGGCTTCATTATACATTGTTTCATTTAAAGTCGCAGAACCTACTGACGACATAAAGTGAAGACTTACTTTATATTAATACTACTGGCCAGGTGCACAAAATTCGTGCTCGGAGGTAAGGGAGGGAGTATTTGGAACTGCTGGTTCCTTACCACCCACCTGCCTGCCTGCCTGATTGCCCCTAAACCCTCTTGCCTGCCACTGATCGCCCCTAACTGCCCTCCCCTGCTGGCCTGATCTTGCCCCTAACTGCCCTCCCCTGCTGGCCTGATCTTGCCCCTAACTGCTCTCCCCTGCTTGCCTGACCGCCCCTAACTGTCTTTGTGCCTGATCACCCCTAACTGCTTTCCCCTGCCAGCCTGATCTCACCCCCAACTACCCTCCCATGCCAGCCTGATCGCTCCTACCTGCCTCCGCCTCGGCCCCCACCACTATGGCTTTGTACGGAAGGAAGTCAGATGTCCAGAAGATAGCCAGTCTACCTGGTCTAATTAGCATATTACCCTTTTATTAGTATGTATTATACAATAGAAGATAGGCTTGCTTAAAAGGGAGGAAAAGACTTTTCAGCAGGAGGAGATGCTCTTGGCAGTCAAAATTACATAATCCCTATATCTGGAGTGATAGCCAGTCATATGCACTCTGCTACCAAACTGGTCATTAAAAAATTGAACTGCCTTCTTACACTTTACACCAAACAGCTGTTGCCCTTAAAACCCCTCCTCAGCCGCCACCTTAGGTTCTACCTTTATAGTTCACCAAGATTTGGTTCTGATTGGTCAGTTTCTATGCCAGTAAGTGTCAAAAGCTCTGCCTCCTAGGAAACCACTGGCTCCTCGCAGTTCAACCAGATTTGGGTTCTCTATGCCCGTCAGCATCTCTGAGCCTATCTCTGGGCCTGATTAGAGAAGTGGGGCTGGTCAGCAGCCCCTTTAGCTGCTGATGAGGCCCAGAGAGAAAGAGAGGCAAGGGTTGATCAACAATTGGCAAGAAGGCTGTGAATCAGATCATGCTTCTCTCTCCACGTCTCTCTCTGGACCTGATCTGCAGCCCCCTCAACAGTCAGTACTGGGTCGCCACGGCAACCCAGCACTGACTGCAGGACTGACTTCTGGTGTTTAGTTGTACATTCGGCCATTTTGGGCGTTACAGACCCTGGCTCTTTATATATATAGTTGAGATCCAAGGGCAGTAAATAAAAGTAGAACTCAGCTGAAACCCGTTTGGCTCAGTGGATAGAGCATCGGCCTTCAGACTGAAGGATCCCACGTTTGATTCCAGTCAAGGGTATGTATCTTGGTTGTGGGCACATCCCCAGTAGGGGGTGTGCAGGAAGTAGCTGAATGATGTTTCTCTCTCATCGATGTTTCTAACTCTCTATCCTTATCCCTTCCTCTCTATAAAATATCAATAAAATATATATATCTTTTAAAAAGTAGGAATTCAATCATCTAGGTTTCTTAATTATATCAAATAATAACACCATGTCTATTGATTTTGTACACAGGGTCAGGAGACCACCTTAGTCTGCATGACACTGCCCTACTGTCCTGAAACCTGATTTTATACATGGTGTCAAATGCCCAGGAGTTTCATATGCCATCAAATACCTATGTATTTTAATGGGTAAGCTATAAGCTAAATATTATAATAATAGCATAATATGCTAATTACACCAGACAACCTTCTGGAAGCCTGGGTCCCAGGTACCTGCTGGAGGCCAGAGGGAATCCCAGGTCCCAAGTGTCAGAGGGAAGCCAGTGCAGGCAGGAGGGAAAGGAAAGTCTACTCTTGCACTAATTTTGTGCATTGGGCCTCTAGTATACAACAATGTTACAGTTTTAGGTAAAAAGCCAGGAAGCTTGTTGAACTTACTGAAAACTCACTAATTCTGCAATTCCCCAGAAAAATGTGTTTTTTCAATCTCTATAAGTTTCAAAAGAAATCTCCAAGAAGGTACTTTGTAATAAAGCATGAACATGAGATTTTATAGTAATCCTTACTACCACAAGGGTAGTGACTATGCAAAATAAACAATGCTATAGGAAAACATTTTCAGTTGCAATTATCATAAAATCAGACTCAAATTTTGACCACACAGGAAAATCATATATCATCTTTTAGTTCTTTTGTCCCTCTGTCCTGCAGGCAGGGATGGGGGATGGGATGACTGCAGCCATGCTGTTCTGAGCACAAGTTCTCCTGCTGGCTCTGGAAGAAGTTCCCTTTCCTTGACTGTCCCTACTTCATACTGGAAGTAACAAAAGCCTTCAAAGGCTAAGTGACTTTCTCAGGGTAACTTGAACAGCAAGAGGCTGAGGTTAAGAATGAGTTGGGTATTTCTGCTTCCCCCATAATGCAATCCCTGAAGACCACTTGTCTTTTTCAATCTTTTGGGACTCAATTGGACCACATCAACACCTGTTTTCTATGTTAGAAATGTAAACACTGAAACTTGAGCAGCAGAGTGTTCCATGATAAAGATACAACACAGAATGAAAATACTTACTTGGGGAGCTGGCAGAGACTCGCTTCCTGGTCAGGCTCTCCTGGCTGACCCTGTCTGAAGCTGAAGAACCCCTTGTTTGGACATGCCTCTTTCCCAGACTCTCCTCTGGCTCTGGAGACTTCTCCATTCCATGGAAATACTTCATGTGATAGTGCAACAGCTTGGCTTTGCGGAAAAATTTTAAACAATCCACAACCTTGCACCTAAATTTGTGGTCTAGGTCGACAGCTGGTGCTTTAGATGTCACAGTATCAACTGTTTTCTTAAAAGTATTTGTTACTAGAAAAAAACAAAAACAAAAAACAAAGATCCCTGTGTTTATACTAGTTGTTATAATACACACATTAACACATGGAAATAGAAAGTGAAAGAATAGCACGCATATATAACTGGAGATATCAATCAGATTGTCATTACTCCCAATGATTACTGTTTGGAGAAAAGGAATAGAACTTTAGGGTAAATAACAGAGAATCAATCCACTGTAATTCACATTTTGAAAGAAGAGATCAGCATGCTGTTTTTGTTTTTTTTTTCTAAAGCTGCCCTAGTTCTCAGCATTTCAGACTTTGGAAAAAGGGAAAATCCTATAAAAACGAAAATCAGGATCCTACCCTAACACTTGTCACTCAGGAATTGGGCCAAACTCAGATTCACCAGCATTCCAGAATCAATCTGAATGGAAAGAACTAGGGATTCTTCTAGTAGAATCTCTCGATACACCTAAGGCCATGGTCGGTAAACTGTGGCTCACAAGCCACATGCGGCTCTCTGGCCCCTTGAGTGTGGCTCTTTCACAAAATACCACGGCTTGGGCAAGTCTATTTTGAAGAAGTGGCATTAAAAGAAGTTTAAGTTTAAAAAAATTTGGATCTCTAAAGAAATGTCAATCGTTGTACTGTTGATATTTCTTGACTAATGAGTTTGCCCATAACTGACCTAAGGGATCTTATAGCAGTTTTTACGCAAGTGTAACTGTTACAAAGGTTTTAGTATTGAATATTTTTGAGATTTCACTACCATGTATTTTGTTTCATCAAAAGTGCTCAGAGACTATAAACAAACAATTGAATGGAGCTGGAAGACATGATGAGAACTTAGAAGGCTCAATGATCAAATTCAAGAGACAAAATTTGACCCCCACCCCCTAGAAAAAAACGAACAGAAGGCAATGGTCTATCATACATCAGTGACAAAAAATAAAGCTGTCACAAGGCCTTCATGTGATAGAAAATCTGTTTATTGAGGACTCCCTTCAGGACCCTCACTTGATGAGAGCAATCACCTTAAACTCAAGCCATGCCTCTCCAGAATAGGTTACTCAAGAATATGCTCTCTTGAGTGAAACAAGTTTTTCCTAAATGCAATGAATGATACAAGTTCCATTAGAAGCAAATAGTGTGCTAAAAATTCAAAATATGATTACTTTCTGAAGTACATTCCATAATCAAAATAAATTTTCAAATCCTTAAACTCAATCTAAATCATACTCTATGGAGCACTAAGGTATAATTGCAAAACTGGTAGGCTTGATGAGCTGATGGAAGCTGTTATATAGGCAATTCAAACAAGTAAAAAATAATATACACACATCCCCAAACACAACTCCTTAAAATCATTTTCCATCTGGACAAGAGATATACGAAAGAGGCTCAAATCAGTTAGATGCAGTTAAGAAAAGAAAAAGTAAAGTAAAATGTAATACATACTTCTGAAACTAATACTATAGAACAAGCATATCAGTAGAGAAATTAAAAACTCTAACCTCTGCTATGTTCTAAAATTCTTTCTTTCTTTTTTAATTCTTTCTTAAAGCCAAATACAAATTTCTTCCTTTTGGACCTATTAGGTTGAACCATATAAACTTGACATTTTTTGTAGTATTAAAAAGGTTAATATTGGCCATTTCCTATGGTTCAGCCTAATAATTCCTTTTCTATATGACAGTATTTTAAAAATCACTCCAGACAACTTCACTTACCACTATAGAAACAAAGCTAAGGTCTGAGATCAGAGAGCATTACTGACTGTCCCACCTGAGGACGAGAGCAATCAAGTTCAAGCAACCATCCTCTGACTTGCATTTGTGAAAATTTACTTATAACGCAAAAGAAGAATGCTTGAAAAAGAAGAATGTGAAAATTTTAAGAATTGAAAATGATCATTAGCAATTGGTGCTGGGAAAACTGGAAAGATACATGAGGAAAAAAAAAAACCTAGATCACTCTCTTATACCATAGTAGAGGCCTGGTGCACCAATTCATGCACCAGAAGGGTCCCTCAGCCTGGCCTGCGCCTTCTCGCAATCCAGGACCCCTCGGGGTGTGTGGTATTGTAGCAGTGCGCCAAGTGGCAGGTGTCCAGGGAGGAGACCGAGCCAGGGGTGAGCACCACACCACTCCCGCTCATCTTGGCCCCACTGCGCCAGCTGCCACCACTCAGCAACACTGCAGTGGAGGCAGGAGAGGCTCACGCCACCGCAGCTGCACTTGCCAGCCAAGAGCCCAGCTTCTGGCTAAGTGGCATCCTGCTGTGGGATCACACTACCACCAGGAAGCAGCTCCTACGTTAAATGTCTGCCCCCTGGTGGTCAGTGCACATCACAGCAAGTGGTTGACCAGTAATGGCCACTTAGGCTTTTATAGACAGACAGACAGACAGACAGACACAAAATAAACTCAAACTGGATTAGACTTAAATGTAAGGCCTGAAACCATAAAACTCCTAGAAGAAAACATAGGTAGCAAACTATTTTACATTAGTTTTTGGCTATGTCCCCCCCAAAAGAGAAAAACAAAGGCAAAAATAATCAAATAGAACTTCATAAAACTAAAAAGTTTCTCCACAGCAAAGGAAACCATCAACAAAACAAAAAGAGGACCTACTAAATGGAAGAATATATTTGTAAATAAACAATCCAAAAGTGAAAGGAGGACATGAAGAGATATTTCTCCAAAGACATACAGATGGCCAACAGACATATGAAAAGATGCTCAACATCACTGAACATCAGGGAAATGCAAATAATACCATCTCCCTCTATAAAGAATGGCTACCATTAAAAAAAAAAAAATCAACAAATAATGTTTTGGTGAGGATGTGGAGAAAAGGGAACCCTTGTGTACTGTTAATAGGACTGCAGATTAGTGCAGCCACTACTAAAAACAGTATAAAGTTCCTCAAAAAAACTAAAAATAGACCTACCATACGACCCAGCAATTCCACCTTTGGGTATTTATCTGAATAAAATGAAAACACTAATTTCAAAAAATATATGCACCCCTATTTTCATTGCAGCGATAGCCAAGATATGGAAGCAACCTAGGTGTCCATCAATATAATGAATGAATAAAGTAGATGCGGTATATTACACAATAAAGAATGAAATCTTATTATTTGCGACAATATAAATGGATGGACCTAGAAGGTATTATGCCAAGTGAAATATGACTGTAGGAAGATAAATACTATAGTTTCACTTAATACAAATCTAAAACACACACACACACACACACACACACACACACACACACACACAAATAGACACACAGAAACAGAGAGCAAAGGAATAGTGGGGATGAGTGAAAAAGGAAAAGGAAAATTTAGCCTACAATGTAAGTCATAGGTTTGCAATGACAGATGATTACTAGAATTAGTGAAATGATCACACTGAAAGGTATTCTTTAAGAGAAAGAGAGAAAAAGAAAAAGGTAAAGATAAAAATTATGAACAACAAATACATATCTATCAACAAGTGAATCTAAATATCAAGTGAAGAGGAGAATCCAAGATAGAGGCATAGGTAACACCTAACTGCAGCCTCACACAACAATTTCAATAAAATACAAAATGGATATTATCCAGAACTACAGGAAAGTCGACTAACTGGAAATTCTACAACGAGAAGGAAAGAGAAAACCAGAAGGAAAATCAGAGGAGCTGTAAAAGCCTAAGGTACGAAGACACATTGCGCGCACAGAGAGGACGGAACCGGAGAGGAGGGGGAGGCTGAGTGCCTGGCTGGCATTCCCTAGTGAGAAGGAGATAAAAGCTCCGGACTGTGCTGAGCCCCAGACCCGACTGCACTAACCCCAGTTCTAGGCCAGACCCTGGGGACCCAGGCTCATACAGAGGGAGCCTGGGCTGTGAGGTGGAATCTCAGGGGAGCGGCAAAAGGCAGAGCCCCCGGAGGCGAGCACAGTACGCGCAGAGGATGGACTGTTGACTCTGCTGCTAGATTTTCCTAGTGGGAAGGAGACAAAAACTCCAGACTGTGCTAGCTCCCGTTCCGACTGCACTGAACCCAGTTCTAGGCCAGACCCTGGGGACCCAGGCTCATACAGAGGGAGCCTGGGGTGTAAGGCAGAAACCCAGGGGAGCGGTGAAAGGAAGTCCCAGAGGCGCACACATTGCACACAGAGAACGGGCGGTTGACTGTGCCGCTGGATTGCCCTAACGGGAAGGAGACAAAAGCTCCAGACTACTCTGAACCCCACTTCCAACTGAACTGAACCCCAGTTCCAGGCTCATTGAGGGAGAGCCTAGACTGTTTGGTAGCAGGCGAAACTCGAGGGCACCTTTCTCTCAGAGGCGCCGGCAACGAGTACTGAAGGGAATACTGAGACTCAGGAGCCTCATAGGGCGTGGCTGACGGAAGCCAAGGCTATAGGCTCCACCCTGAAACTCCACCCCATCCAAGCTGATCACAGAGACTTTTAAGGCTATCAACTCAGGGAAGCTGCAAAAATGCCGAGACAAGGAAACAGATCACAAAAGAAAGAAATGGAGGACAAAAAAACGACTGGATATAGAGTTCAAAACCATGCTTATAAGGTTTTTCAAGAACTTCCTAGAAAAGGTCGATAAGACCTATGAGGATATGAAAAGGGATCAACTAGAAATAATAAGGAATCAACAAGAAATAATAAGGGATCAACTAGAAATAAAGAATACATTGTCTGAAATAAAAAATATTATACAGAGTCCTAAAAACAGAATGGAAGATCGCAAGAATCAAGTCAAAGATTTGGAACATAAAGAGACAGAAGATACTCCTTCACAGAAGCAAGAAGACAAGAGAATCCAGAAAGTTGAAGATAATGTAAGAAACCTCTGGGACAACTTCAAGCGAACCAACATCAGAATAATAGAGGTCCCAGAAGATGAGAGAGAGCAAGATACCAAAAATATACCGAAAGAAATAGTGACAGAAAACTTCCATCTTTAGCACCTGGGATATGCTCTTGGATCTATCATTTGTCACTTCTCCAGCCAGAGTT